GCCTCAGTGGCTCACATCTGTAATCCCAGGACTTTGGGAGGCTGAGGTGGGTGGAGATCACTTGAGGTCAGGAGTTCGAGACCAGCTTGACCAACATGGTGAGACCCCCGCCTCTACTAAAATAGAAAACAAATTAGCAAGGCGTGGTGGTGGGCGCCTGTAATCCCAGCTACTTGGGAGGCTGAGGCAGGAGAATCGCTTGAATCCGGGAGGCGGAGCTTGCAGTGAGCTGAGATCGCGCCACTGCACTCCAGCCTGGGCAACAGAGCGAGACTCCGTCTCAAAAAAAAAAAAAGCAAAAACCTGGAGCCCAAGAGCCACACGGAAAAGGCACGTGCTACAACAGAGTGCACCACTTCATTCAGCAAAAGGAGGTCACCAAGAGAGTTTGATGAACCTTATCTTCAAAGTTCCCAGGCACAGTGGCTCATACCTGTAATCCCAGAGCTTTCGGAGCCTGAGGTAGGAGGATGGCTTGAACTCAGGAGTTCAAGTTTGCAGTGCACTATGATTGTGCCACTACACTCTAGCCTGAGCAACAGACCAAGACCTTATTGCCAAAATACCAGGAAAAAAAAAAAAGTCCATGGAGAGCTACATAGACATGAGACCACACTTCAGCCTGAATTTTTCTAAACACAGCTGTCTCAAGCAGATGAGCCCACACGTTTTTGCACACTGAACTCTCCAGTCCTTCCACTTCCTTAATTCTGCAAATGGAGGGGGTGGGGACTCTTGGGAAACTACTCATGTAAAATTTAAGTTGGAGGTAGGCGTGGGCTGAGGAAAGAGGAATCAGATTAATTCTCTGGGTTGCAAAGAGGCTATTCTGCAAGCCCCTCACAGTGGCCCTGAAAGCTCAATAAGTGTTTTGTACCTCTTGTAAATGTGCCATTGTGTGAAGCATTAAACCCAACATCTAGAATTCAGGATCCATCCAGAATAAAAGAATGTAAAACCTTTCCCAACAGAAGAGTGTTACTTTTGGCCAACTTCATGGGTTCTTATTGCACATTAAATTATGACTTATGGAACATTACAATCTATTCTCAGTCCAGTGAATAAGTTCTTTGCTTTATGTGAATCCAATAAAAAATCCAAAGAATTTTAATTTGGAGTTGATGTCCTCTTTACAATACATTTATCATATTCTCTTAAACACAGACCATTTGTCACATTTAAAAGGTGAGTTCCGTTTGGGTTTAGAAAAGGAAATATATATATATATATATATATGCTTGTATATGATCGGAAAATTTCTTCAAGAATAACATCAGAAAGTATTAACAGTTTTGCTTTTGAAGAGAAGGGGACTTTTCATTTATGCACGGCTTGACTGCACCTGTATTAATTTTAGAAAAATAAAAAGTAAAAAAGTTGATTCGCTCTCCTCAGTTTTTTTCAGGACCACATTTAAAGTTCAAAGGCAGGTATAGGTATACAGTTAAGCAGATTATTAAATGATCAGCCACAAAAACAGCCTCACCCAGAAAGCCTTTTCTTATCTTTTTTTGATTTCTTATTTTTGAGACAGGATCTGGCTCTGTCAACCAGGCTGGAGTGCAGTGGCGGGATCTCGGCTTACTGCAACCTCTGCCTCCTGGGCTTAAACTATCCTCCCACCTTAGCTTCCAAGTCGCTGGAACTACAGGCCCATGACACTGCCTGGCTAATTTGTTTATTTTTAGAAGAGATGGGGTTTCACCATGTTGCCCAGGCTCATCTCGAACTCCTGGGCTCAAGTGATCCACCCACCTCATCCTCCCAAAGTGCCGGGATTATAGGCGTGAGCCACCATGCCAGACCCAGAAAGACGTTATTTACAACAAAGATCTCATGTTGTTTCAGGATCTCTGCTTCCCTCTACCAAACCCTCTGCTGTCTTTCCGGAGACTTGTCCCATCCCACCATAAACTACTGCTAGCTCTGCTCACCACCCTTTTCCCCTTCCCCTGCCCTGTGTGTCTCTCTGCACTAATAGCATGCTTGGAAATATTTCAGCCTGCTTGATATTGATAGCTAAGCCAGGCCAACCCTAACTGGAACCTGGGATAATATTCCCTGGCCATATTCCTTCAACAGTCCCAACACAAATAATGGCAGAAGACCATTTTGCTGTCAATGGGTGCAGTCAATGGGTGGTTGGCAAGATCTAGATTTATTCCCTTGTAGCCTAAGAGATAGATGCTGCCTGGGTTGCGAGTCCGTCCCAGAGGAAAACGTCCCACTCTTCCGCATTTTTAGTAGAGTATTTCTGTTTCCCTTCAGGGGGTGAAATGTTAATGTCCATGCAGAAGGAAAACCAGGGGAGAGAAAGGTGTTGGGTCCACTAACCCCCATGAATTAGAATGATGTCTGGGTCAAGTCACTTGCTCTGCTGTAGGGAGAGTGTATGAAAACCAGTAGCTTACCGTGCCTGAGTGATGAGTGGACAGTTTTAGTCTGATGTTATTTTCAGTTTTAAATTAGAGGAATGTAGCTTCTCAACTATCAGAGCCCTCAACTGCTATGTCCCTGTGGACCGCTAGGAATTCGTGTGGGCCCAGCAGGAGATAGGATTAGCAAGCTGAGTAGCTGTTGCCTAAGTACTTTAGAGTCTTTCACTGCTGTGATTATAAACATCATGGTACCCCCTAGTGTGTTAGAGGGTTGTCCTGATTTCTGGGAAGCCACACTCTTCTTACATTTATCCCATTCTTTCTTACGTTTCTCACCAATCCCCTTCCATTTTGGAAACATTGCTGAGTAGCGTCACCATCCATTTGTATATTTTATTTTTAGAGTATTTCACATACTTGCTTTTTTTGTTGTTAACTTCCCACACAACACCGACGTATCACACAGTTGCTTTCATTTGAGCCTCCCCACATCCCTGTGGGTGAAGATTGGCAGGCTTAGCTTCATTTGTCAGATTGTCTGAGGCTTAGAAGGACTGAATGGCTTGGCCAAGATGACAAGGCAGTAAAAAGTGGGGACTTGGACCTGGTTGTCCTGCTCTCGGTTCATTTGTTTTTCTCTTCATGCTCATCCCTGAACGCCAAGGGAATGGCAGGAGACCCTCTCCCAGAAGGACACCTAAGAAGGGTTTGAGGTCTCTGTCAGTAACAAATAAAAGCTCACCTCGGACAAGAGGATCTTCAGTCTGTTGGCCTGTTGGCTTCCTCTGCCTCGTGCCATTTGTGGGTTCCTTTCAGTCCAAGTATCTGTCAGTAAGGTCCTCGTTGAATAGATGAATCCATCCATACAACAAAGTCGAAGGCCACTTAACAAAATGTAGCTCCTCTTGTAGGAACTGATCTGAAAACATCTGGAGGATATAGGAAATGAAAAAATCAAGATGCAGAACAGTGTACGTGGTACACTTACTTTTGTGCAAAAATGCAGGGAAGGGAATGAAATGCAGATTTAAACATGCTTTTTATTTGCATAAAGGAACACTGGACGATTATATTAGAAACCAATGAAAGCGGTTGGCAATAGACAAGAGACTGGGTATGAGTGAAATTTCTCAGTTTATACCTTATGTCATTTCAATTTTTTAGAAACTTTTAATTTGGAAATATAGATTTGCAAGAAGTCACAAAAACAGTGCAGAGTACTCCTGTGTACCCTTAACCCACTTTTCTCTAATGATAATATGTTGCATAACTAGTACAATATCAAGACCAGGAAAGTAGCAATCTACAGAGCTCATTTAGATTTCCGCCTTTTACCTGCACACATTTGTATGTGTTCCTAGTTCTAAGCAGTTTTATCTCATGTGCAGATTTCTGTGAGCGGCATCACGACGACATCCAGAACTGTTCCCTCACCCTGGACATCCCTGTGCTAACTCTTCATAGTCACTCCCATCTTCTTCCTCCCTCCCCCATCCCTACTCATTCCTATCCCCTGTTGATCACCAATCTGGGCTTCTTTATAATTTTGTCCTTTTGAGACTGTTACATACACAAAATCACACGGTATGTAACTTTGAGCAGAGTCTCGCTCTTGTCGTCCCGGGCTGGAGTGCAATGGCACGATCTTGGCTCACTGCAACCTCCCGCTCCCGGGTTCAGGTGATTCTCCTGCCTCAGCCTCCCGGGTGGGTGGGATTACAGGCACCTGCCACCACACCCAGCTAATTTTTGTATGTTTAGTAGAGATGGGGTTTCACCATGTTGGGTAGGCTGGTCTCCAAATCCTGACCTCAAGTGATCTGCCCGCCTCGGCCTCCCAAAGTGCTGGGATTACAGGCGTGAGTCACGGCACCCAGCCTAGGAGTTCATTCCTTTTTATCGCTGAGTAGGGTAGCCCATGGTATGGGTGTACCCGTTTGTGTAACCAGTCACCCACTGAAGGGCATTGGGGTTGTTTCCAGTATTTGGCTATTATAAATAAAGCTACAATGAATATTTATGTCCACGTCTTTGTGTGGACATAAGTTTTCGTTTCTTTAGTATAAACGCAGGGTCACATGGTAAGTTTTTAAAGAAACTTCATTTTTTAAGAAACTGCCCCCAATTTTTTCAGAGTGGTACTTCGATTTTTCAAACATAGATTAAAAACAAAACAAAAACGAAAAGCAAATTAAATGTACTGACGTTGAGGCTGGGTGAGGTGGTTTACGCCTATAATCCCAGGACTTTGGAAGCCCAAGGCAGGCGGATCACTTGAGGTCAGGAGTTCGAGACCAGCCTGGCCAACATGGTGAAACCCTGTCTCTACTAAAAATACAAAAATTAGCCGGGCATGGTGGCATGTGCCTGTAGTTCCAGCTACTCAGGGGGCTGAGGCAGGAGAATCGCTTGAAGCCAGGAGGTGAAGGTTGCAGTGAGCCGAGATCACACCATTGCACTCCAGCCTGGGTGACAGGGTAACACCCTGTCTCAAAAAAAAAAAAAAAAAAAATGTTGACATTGAATCGACCACGTCCTTAAAATCAGGTGGCCTGTGGTATGTCTCTGGCTTGGCCAGGCTGTGTAATGTCAGTGTTAAAGCCTGAATCTCTCTTCTCCTAGGTGTGGTGCAGATAGTGGAGGTGGTCTTGAATGGGATGGTTCTCATATGCATCGTGGCCTCCTACTTTGTCCTTGCCGGATTCAGTGCCAGCTTTTCCAGTGGCGGTGGCTTTGGGAACAGCTACTACTCACCGTTCGAGGGCACTGAGCTAGAGCAGGTTCGGCAGCTGGACCAGCAGTACACGATCCTCCGGTCGCCCCTGATATATGGTGGCGTGGCTGTTTCTCTGGGGTTGGGGGTCCTCACCATGGGCGTCTTACTCCAAGGAGCCAAGAGTCTAACAATCTTGTCAGGGAAGTGGCTCCTCACGGAGGCCGCCTTCAGCCTCCTAGCGGCCGTGGGCTACTGCACAGGCATTGGTGTTTACCTCCACGTGGCTCTGCAGATCAATAGCACCGACACTTGCAAAACAAGAGAGAGGCTCTATGCCCGCAGGGGTCTCACCTGGATGAACTGCCAGCTGGCAGGCACCGATGGAGCAGCAGCCACCTTTGCTTGTCTTCTGGTGATCATGTACGGCGCCAGCGTGGTGCTGGCCCTGCGTAGCTACCGAGAACAGAAGCGCTACAAAGGCAGCCCAGAACAGCCCGGAAGTTACAGTGAGGCACCGGAATACCTGTGGTCTCGAACAGTTTGAGATCTTCCAGGACCTAAGTGTGAACCCACATTGTTTCTCTTAAAAAGACAGGTCTTTTAAAACCCCACATTAGACAACTATGGTTTTCACACACTTGACTTTACAAATGCTCTCTTTGGACTGCGGCAAAGTTAAAGAATTGAGGCTGGGCGCGGTGGCTCACGCCTGTAATCCCAGCACTTTGGGAGGCTGCGGTGGGCGGATCACTTGAGGTCAGCAGATTGAGTCCAGCCTGGCCCACAGAGCGAAACCCTGTCTCCACTAAAAATACAAAAAAATTGCTGGGCGTGGTGGTTCACGCCTGTAATCCCAGCACTTTAGGAGGCCAAAGCAGGCGGATCACCTGAGGTTAGGAGTTTGAAACCAGCCTGGCAAACATGGTGAAACCCCATCTCTACTAAAAATACAAAAATTAGCTGGGCATGGTGGCAGACGCCTGTAATCCCAGCTACTCTGGAGGCTGAGGCAGGAGAATCTCTTAAACCCGGGAGGCAGAGGTTGCAGTGAGCCAAGACCATTGCAATCCAGCTTGGGCAACAAGAGCGAGACTCTGTCTCAAAAAAAAAAAAAAAATCAGCTGGGCTTGATGGCGAACACCTGTAATCCCAGCTACTCAGGAGGCTAAGCCACAAGAATCACTTGAACCTGGGAGGCAGAGGTTGCAGTGAGCAAACTCTACTCCACGTCACTGCACTCCAGCCTGGGCAACAGAGCAAGGCTCTTTCTCAAAAACAACGATGACGACAACAAAGAAGATAGGACAGTTGATTTTATTAGACCATAAAGGCATACTAGAGGCTTTTTCATTTCTGCATTTCCTGACAGTGCTCCATAGAGTAGGCCTTCAAAGGTAGCTAGTAATCTCATTACCCTGGACTGCTCTCATAATCTAACAGATCACTAACACTGAATCTTAAAAATAAAGTTCTTTTAGTAATTTTAATCTTGCGTGTTTTATACCTATTCTTATACTTTACAACTAGTCCCAAATATATTAGTTCAAATCACATGCAACTAGAAATATACATTCTCGTTATGTTCTTTTTTCTAATTGTCCTCTTGCTCTTTACTAGTGAATTCTTATGGAACCTGTTCAGGACAAAGAATTGAAGCTAAGCCTCCTACCTAAGTGGAAAAGATCTAGATTGTACTTTTATAAAAATAAAGCTTGGAAAATAATCAACTGGATATCTACATTGCTAGGTTAAAAGTTGCGGTGCCTTGGCTGGGCACGGTGGCTCACGCCTGTAATCTCAGCACTTTGGGAGGCCAAGGCAGGTGGATCATGAGGTCAAGAGTTCAAGACCAACCTGGCCAAAATGGTGAAACCCTGTCTCTACAAATAATACAAAAAAATTAGCCGGCCTGGTGGCAGGCACCTGTAATCCCAGCTACTCGGGAGGCTGAGGCAGAGAATTGCTTGAACCTGGGAGGCAGAGGTTGCAGTGGGCCGAGATCGCGCCACTGCACTCCAGCCTGGGTGACGGAGTGAGACTCTGTCTCAAAAAAAAATAAAAAAATAAAAATACAGAAAAGTGTCTCCACTCCATCACCCTTAGCCCAAGACAGTGGCTAAGTCCCACACAATTTTCACTGAGTAGTAGAGGAGAAGTATAACTGCAGCCAGAATCAAGCGACCCACTCTCCACCTACCCTCCAGAGAAATACCACCAAGCCCAGCCACTAGTCTCACCTAGCATGTATTCCCTGAAATAGGTCCTTGTTAGATCCTCGCCCACGTCTGGGTCCTGTGCTTGATAAAATGGAGACTTTGGCCTATTTGACCCCAACCTTGTGCCCAGGTCCAACTCCAGTACTGCTCCAGAAGGCAGCTCCTCTCAAGGGAATGGAACCATCACTGTAACAACAACACTCCCACTTCTTACGGCTTTATAACGTTCACCATGCTTTAGCAAACCTTCTCTTACTACCGCTTGTCAGTCAGGCCAAGGTGTACTGTTCACACTTTACAGATGAGGAGACAAGGTTCAAGGTTAGGTGGTATGTACAGTATCGTGATAAACAAGCCCTTTGATAAAAGATATTAACATTTAATGAGAAAAACAGCCTTAGAGAGGTTAAGTAACTGCCTGAAGTCACAAAACTTTTAAGTAGAGGCAAAACTCAGGCCCACTGAATCACACACTGGAAGGTGTTCTGAGTGACTGACATACTCTTGTGGCCTTTGGTGTACGAGGGAATTTATATCGCATGACATTGATTCATTTCTGCCATGCTGGCTGAGGGAGGTGTGTGTCTGGTGGAACTGAGGTATAAAAGCATGTTGAAGGTGCTCAATAAATGGTTGTTGAACCAAGTGTTTAAAATGTTCCTTCTGGCCAGGTGTGGTGGCTCACGCCTGTAATCCCAGCACTTTGGGAGGCCGAGGCGGGTGGATCACCTGAGGTCAGAGACCAGTCTGGCCAACATGGTGAAACCCCGTCTCTACTAAAAATACAAAAATTAGCCAGGTGTGGTGGCGCATGCCTGTAATCCCACCTTGGGAGACTGAGGCAGGAGAATCGCTTGAACCTGGGAGGCAGAGGTTGCAGTGAGCTGGAATCACGCCATTGCACTCCAGCCTGGATGACAGAGCGAGATCCCGACTCAAAAAAAATAAACGGTCGGGCGCGGTAGCTCATGCCTGTGATCTCAGCACTTTGGGAGGCCGAGGAGGGCAGACTGCCTGAGCTCAGGAGTTCGAGACCCACCTGGGTAACACAGTGAAACCCTGTCTCTACTAAAACTACAAAAAATTAGCCAGGCATGGCAGTGCTAGTCCCAGCTACTTGGGAGGCTGAGGCAGAATAGCTTGAACTCAGGAGGCAGAGGTTGCACTGAGCCAAGATCACGCCACTGCACTTCCAGCCTGGGTGACAGAGCAAGATTCTGTCTCAAAAAATAAATAAAGTTCCTTCTGCTAGATGAAGAGGAAACCTATAAATGACTTTATCTTGACTTTTATTTAAAATGAGAGGTAGCAGGCAGTGTGCAGTGGCTCATGCCTGTAATCCCAGCACCTTGGGAAGCCAAGGCAGGCAGATCTCTTGAGCCCAGAGGTTCGAGAGCAGCCTGGGCAACATGGCAAAACCATGTCTCTACAAAAATTACAAATGAGCTGTGTGTGATGGTGCTTGCCTATGGCCCTGGCTACTCACGAGGCTAAGGTGGGAGGATCGCATTAGCATGGGAGGTAGAGGTTGCAATGAGCCAAGATCACACCACTGCACTCCAGCCTGGGCAACAGAGCAAGACCCTGACTCAACCTATCCATCAATCAGTTGAGAGGTAGCTACTCTTGCTTCAAAGTCCAGAGATTATGGGAGACACCCACGGGAGTGGGGGTAAGCGAGCAACAATTTAGAGGCTTAACTGGATTCTAAGTAGCTCATGAGCCAAGACTCTGAAGTTCCTTCTTACACCAAAGCTGCCATTAAAAACATGATGACTGGCTTTTCCACGATGTCATCAGCTGTCATTTAGATGGAGCTGTGGATTGTTTACAATTGAGTTTCTGGTAGTCAGCTAATAACCTGCATGTCAATAAGGACAGTTTCCTGATTTTTTTCCTTTTTCCTGGCTCTGTGATTTCTGTAAACACGTAAACCAAGGCAAAACATAGTGTTTCATGAAGTAAAAATCTGTATTGCCATTTCAGCTTAAAAGCTGATCAAAAATATTTATTCTTGCCTTAACTCATAGCTTTGCAGTGTCATGGAATGTGGTTTAATGTGCTTGTTCTCACTTACCTTCCCCAGGAAAATCCTGCAGGTGCTTTTGGTTAAGAACCCAATTCTGAGACAGAGTCTCGCTTAGTCGCCCAGGCTGGAGTGCAGTGGCGCGATCTCGGCTCACTCCAAGCTCCGCCTCCCGGGTTCACGCCATTCTCCTGCCTCAGCCTCCTGAGTGGCTAGGACTACAGGCGCCCGCCGCCTCGCCCGGCTAATTTTTTGCATTTTTAGTAGAGACGGGGTTTCACCGTGTTAGCCAGGATGGTCTCGATCTCCTGACCTCGTGATCCGCCCGCCTCGGCCTCCCAAAGTGCTGGGATTACAGGCGTGAGCCACCGCGCCCGGCCAAGAACCCAATTCTACAAACAAGTTAGGAGAGAAAATTATAGCTTCATGCTAAAATACTTATGAAATAACAAGCACTCCATTTTAAAACAAAGCCATGAAAAAGAGATTCCACTTTATTTTATTTATTATTGTTATTGTTATTTTTACAAACAATAGATTTGCTGCAACATGCTCTGGCTCATATTATTGAATTAAAAAATTTAACACATTTCAAAAATATCAAAAATACACTATAATGAGTCTTAGGACTACAATACAACAGTGATTGCACAAAACCATAAGATATGAGCCCACTGTCTGGATGACATCCATTGGCAACAGTGAGAGAAAACCCTATAGCATCTGGGAGAAGTGCATGAAATTTAGAATACAAGGAGCTTATGTGTGACTGACTGATCACCAAATGAGGGAAACAGAGCAGGATTGACTGTAGCTGCTTTTTCTCAATCTAGGAAGTGCTTACCCAACTATGGGGCAAAAGTCACTAACTGGAGAGAAAGATTAACTTGCCTTCATGATTGGGAGTCTGAAAGCCTCCACCCAGAAGGAAGTAAAAAGTGACACAAGACAGTTCTATAGTGATGCTGAAGACATCACTGAATGGCTTGGAGACTAATTTAATAATTGGTACATTTATCGATAACAGCCAGCTGCTCCCTTATGGAGGTCTCTTCATTAATAATTATTGGATAGACAGAGAAGGTGAGCCTGTGGTTTCCAAGTACCAGCTTTCGCTAAAGGTCTAAATGGGAAGAAGAGCATCATTTGATATTCAGTAGATCTGCCACACCCAACTGGCTCCATCTCCTGGAAAGAAGCACTCACTACAAGCACCTGTAATAGCACCCAGCAATGACCACACTGCTCCTGCTGGCTCTTCCGTACACCAGTAAATGAACTCACCAATGTATTGCACACATACACTTCACAGTAGTACAATAAAGCCCTGTATCAGGAGTGGTAATTCAATGACTTGACTTTATAGTGCACTGCAGCTTTACGTCATACCCACATTCAAATTTTCAAATATCCTTCCAATCCATTTGAATAAAAATATACGGTGGCTGCCAAGACACATGTATTTTTCTTTTTTCCATGGACTCCTAAACTGCTCCCATAATCAGCAGTGTTCTTCTCTCAGAAATTATCTTAAGCTTCTCTATTCAATGGGAGGTACACACAGAGACCTGAGAACATGCAGAGGCCAGAATCTCTATGCTAGAGATCAACTGTACTCTGCCCACCCGGGGAACACATCCTCTGGGTAAAGTACTCGGAAGTAGATTACATTCACCTGGAAGCAGATACTGGCTTTCACCGACAGCCTGTTTAGGAAACACAGTGTCTGTAAATTACCTCAGAGGTCAAAGAGTTTTGTATTATATTTTTCATAATGGGCTATGGCCTTTTTACCCTCTGTTTTAATACAGAGCAACTACAAAAGGACATGAATTAAAGGAGACTGCAAAAAAGAATAATCAGTTTTGGTACTGCCTATAATAAAGATTTTCAACACAACCTAATGGTTCCTGAAAATAATTCTAGCACACAGAAAAACATTTGGAATTACAGAGTTCTGCTGACTAAAAAGTAAATACATTTACTTTCGGTAAGGTGATTTCAGAACTGGGATTTGAGGGGGTTCCAGTAAGTAGGGTGGGAAACGAATAGCAGACAAGAAAGCGGTTCACCATAAATAATAATTTTTATGAGACTATACTATTAAAGTGGTGTATTCCCAAAATAACTTTAATTTTTGGACATCACTATTCTACAGCCTGAAGGTTCTGCCGTCTGAGTAAGATGTTTTACATCATTCATCACTATCATCCTGGGTTATTTAATTTTATTTTTTATTCATTTA